ATGAGAATGGGCCAACGAGTAGTCAGTAATTGATTCAGAAAGAGCCTAGTTATGTCTAAACAGGAGGTTACAGACGAGTTAGCAGATCGTGCAAGATAAACATAGTAAAACCGTAGATCAACATTGAGGTGAATCGACAATGGATGGATAAAAGATACAAAGTACGAGATGAGATTAGACCATCATTCTCAAGATAAACAGTAATGAAGAAGCGTTAAAAGACTTAGCTTTATGCATATATGATAAGTAACAAGAGTAACCTGGAGTTCGGTCGCAGACCTAAGTAACAATAAATCGAAGTAAGAGTTATGGTATAGTATGGCCTACTTAGATGTAGTAAAGCTAATGACGCCCAGAGGGACAACTTGACATAATTTTTTATATATTCACAAAGTGAGGCCTAGAGATTGGCTAAGAGCTGGAGGAAAGGGGAGAGAAGCGTTGCATAGGCGCACATACAAAGTTAGAGTCGTACAAGCTGCATGATAGAAGGTAACAACAGTTACGAGATTAGAAGGATTCCGACTACAAGTCGTGGTGTGAGAAAGAGGCTTAAAGGGGGAAATGCCACGGCCTTCGAATTTATTCAAAGAACAGTTGTCTAAATGGAAAGGAGAATATTGAAGTATTCGCAAGAGCTATGGGTTATGAGAATGATAAGTGCATCAGTCAACATTCGAGGACGAATGTTCCAAAGGGGGGAATGATGTTACACCCCATATTTTCGTATATGAAAGTGCGCTATGAATAAATTAATGGAAGCTCGGAAATGAGATGTTACATCCCGCATTTTCGTACGATAAAGTTTCGTCGTAAGTTAATCGACGTAAGTTTGAGAATGAGATTATTGTAAGATTATAAGTATTATGCTATTTCAAACAAGTGATGAGTAAATTCGTGAAGGTGAGAGGATAAGGAAATCGAAGAAAATAAATTTCGTCGAAATTTGACATTTTGGGGTAAAATACGGTCTAAGCTATAATACCCTGTATTTATGGACTAGTGCCATACAAGGTACCACATGGCAATGATAGTAAAGTGTATAAAGTGTATTAAAAGTGAGTACCATTTTATGATAATTTTTAATTATGTGGATAATTGGTTAATTATTGGACTAGTGGGGATTAATGAATTGATTAAGGAATTAAGTGGATAACTTTTGGATAAGTCTTATAACCACTTACATGCCAGCCATATAAGAGCCACTAGGTGACTCTTAATTAAATGTGCAAGATGGCAAAAATTTAAAGAGCTAGGCACTTCATCTCATTTGGTTAAAGAAAGTTATCAAGAAATGCCAAGAGATGTTACGGCCTAATCATTCCTTGCTTGAAGTAAGCAAATGTTCCATTTCAATTTCACAATATTATGATCAAATTCAAAGGAAAGATTCAGCAACTTATTCAAAATATTGGCAAAGTGATTTTGCTACAAAAATCATACGAGACTACGTAATATTATAGCAACGGGATTTCGCGATTCTAAGGGAGTACGGTGCAACCTTTCTCAAGAATATCATATGAATTTTTCCCTACTTCGATCCGCCGTTACGTGAGTTATCTCAAAAGACGTGTGTTGGAAGGATTGTCAAGAGAATCGGCTCAGGTATATTAAGGCTATCCCTTCTTTCTTTTGGCATGATCTACGACACGAACGAAATGAGCAAATTCACAACTTCCATAAATGACTCTATTCATAAAAATATTAGGGGTGTCTATATTCTTGATTCCCCACGTGAATTATTATTATATCTTCTGTTCATGGGTCTTAGAAAAATACGTATTTGATAAAATTTACCCGACAGGCATATTATTTTTATGACATTCCGAGAAAATCTTCTTAACGTATTTCTTATGCATTTCATGCATTTATACATGTACATTGACCCATGACCAGATGGCGTTATATACGCGTATATATATATGTATATGTGATATGGGAAAAGGTTACGGCGTTATATACGCACCACCACCTGATCAGCTGGTATACGTTGATGATTTGCCCACAGTGGCCGAAATGATATGATGGGATGCCCTCAGAGGCTTGATGATGTTATGAACGCATATACCTATGCATGGTATAACATTTATTCGCATATGCATGACATTATAAAAACGAAATGATTCACAGAGCTATGCAGACGTACATGTCGAGTCTTTTACTCCATGTTTCTCTCATGTCTATTATTTACTGGTTTTCATTCCTTACATACTCGATACATTATTTGTACTGACGTCCCTTTTGCCTGGGGACGCTGCATTTTATGTCCGCATGTCTCGATAGACAGGTCGAGAGTCCTCCAAGTAGGCTATCTGCTCAGCGGAAGATGTCAGTGCACTCCATTTGCTCCGGAGTTGCTTGTTGGTCAGTATGATTTAAATGTATATGTTTGGTATGGCGGGGCTCTGTCCCAACTTTTATGACAATTATCTATTCTTAGAGGCTTGTAGACAGATATCATGTATATGAAAGATTGTACGGCCTTGTCGGCCTATGTTTGGAGTTTATTAATGATCATGTTGGCCTATTAGGCCCGTATGTCACATGTATATAATGATGTAATAAGAAAGATACGTTACATTGGTACTCGGTTGAGTAAGGCACCGGGTGCCCGTCGTGGCCCATCGGTTTGGGTCGTGACAGATTGTGCTCTTCCAGCTCCCCTATATTGACTTTCTGGTGCTATGAACTCTGTGCGTTATGCTTTGATGGCATTTATCTTTGGTCGCCCCTGTATTGGTGAAAAGATTGACTTGACACGTGAATTAATGATGCCCTGACAGGTGGCACAAGAGTTAGAAGAATAAAGAAGAGCGGAGGTTGGAAAAAAGGCATGGAAAAAATACCCACAAGGTTGTTTACAAAGAGACTGTATCTGACAACTGGAAAGAAGAGATAGGCGGGGGATGCACAATTAAAGACTACAAAGAAGGGAAATTCATTAATAGCCGTGGATATGGAAAGGAAATCAACATGATCCCTGATTTAATGTGATTGGTTATTATTACTATAACCATTACAAATTACTCAAGTAATGGGCAATCAATGTAATTAATATTAGTAAAGAGAGGGAATTAAGTATGAAAAAGCAGTTTTGTATCCTTATATAAATTTCCCTTACCATACTTTGTACGATCATCAATGAATTCGCAAATACATACTATCACTCTTTTATTATTATTTCTCTACTTGAGTGAAGAATCCTACTCTCAACTCTTAGAAGGGAGCTACAATTATCAATAAAATGTCCTTTTCTTTATTCTCTGAATATTTTGTTTCCATTATTTCTTATTATTCTACATTAGAAAAAGTGAAGTAAAATTAATTACTAGAAATTCGATTTATTTTATTATTTGCTTTGACCACACAAATTATTTTTTGGTTAAATAAATTGGTTCCGTTACCGGGAAATCTAGTAATCTTTTCACTTTCCATATTTTATCTTTAACAATGAATTATGTCTACTACTAATAAAATTATTTAGGTGGGTGATGGAGAACAAGGAAGGCAACAAGGAGGAACTCCTCCGCACCACACACCCGCAGCTACTCCGCGGCGTTCACGAGAAAATTCACCTGAAAGATCTGCTAATTGATGAACAATCAAATGAACAAGATAATTTGAAGCAGTTTATTGCTTAACAGATTGGTGAAGCCTTCCGTGCTTTTGTAAGTGGACTACCAAGTATTGTGCAGGCTCCACTAGCGGTGAATACAATTGTGGAAAACCCTCATTCAGGGCTTGAAAACTCTGAAAGTGGGAAAATACCAAATAATTCTGGAACCGGTGGGTCAGGTACACTGAATAATTCTAATTTAAAAAATTTAGTACTAAAATTATAGAAATAACTCAAGGAAAAAATGAGCGAATAAAGCAGATACAGGAGTACTACCCGTGATTAAAGGAGTGAATATTGACAAGTATTCACAACAACCTTAGAAGCCAAGTGCATCACCGTTACCAATGCCCAAAAAGTTCAAGATGCCCGATATTCCTGAATATGATGGGACTACTGACCCGCAAGATCATGTTACCACATTTACTACTGGAGTCAATGGCAATGATTTAACTAAGCAGGAAATCTAATCAGTATTGGTGAAGAAATTCGGTGAAACCCTCACAAAAAGAGCATTAGCTTGGTATGCACTCTTACCTGAAAATTCGATTGGTTCTTTTTCTAAGCTTGTAGTTTCACTTATAAAAGCACATTCGAGAGCTCAAAAAGTAGAGAAGAGAATGGAAGATAACTTCAAGATAAAACAAGAGAATACAGAATTGCTCAGAGAATTCGTGGATCAATTCCAGCGGGAGAGAATGATGTTACCGCGTGTACCTAACAATTGGGCAGCTATGACATTTGCAAGCAATTTGAATGAGAAAAGTTCAGAAGCCACAGGAAGATTAAAAGAAAGCCTGTGGGAATTTCCTTCTACTACTTGGAATAATGTTTATAACAGGTACAATACAAAGTTGTGAATAGAAGAAGATACGGTGTCTCTGTCGAAGGTGGAGGAAATGTTCAAACCTAGACGTTCAGAATTAGAAAGGAGATCTGGATAAAACAGGTATGAACCTTACATGGGACCTGCGGGACGAGAACAAGAACATGCACGGTTTGATGAAAGATCTAGACAGAAGGAGGCGAGTTCTTCTTTCCGATTCGGAAAGGAATGAGATACAATAAGGAACAATGATCAAAATTCTCGATCAAGAATAGGAGATTATAATTTCAACATCAGTACGTCAGAGTTGGTAGCTCCGGTAAGAGGTATGGGTGATAACGTACGATGGCCAAAAGAGATAAGAACGGATCCCATCAAAAGAATCTAGGAATTCTGGTGTGAATTCCACTCATGATCATGGTCACAGAATAACAAATTGCAGGTCTTACAAGGGGAGGTTGACTATTTACTAAAAAAAGGTTATCTCACTGACCTATTTAGTGAAAAAGTAAAGTAGTCTTATATAAAAAATAGGCAAGAATCACCAAAACCCAGAGGATGGAGAATGTTATAATCGAGGGTGAGGAGGTCAATGGAGTAACATACACGACAACGAAAAGGACAACCAAGATCTCAGTTACCCACGGGAAGGGGGTTCGTCAAGTCCTGGAAGGAGACAACATAATATTTGATGATGAAGATGCAAATGGCTTGATCATCCCTCATAATGATGCTCTGGTAATATCTTTACATATCAATGATTCTAATGTCAAGCGAGTTTTGATTGATCCAAGTAGCTCTGTGAATATCATACTGTTAAGAGTGGTGAATGAGATGCAAGCGACTGATCATGACATAACCAATGCTCGATCTTTGTCTGGGTTTGATAATTCAAGTGTTGTAACAAAAGGAGAAATTATGTTAGCAACATTCACAGAGGGTGTTGTCAAAGATACCAAGTTTCCAGTGGTGGATGCAGACATGAGTTATAATATAATTTTAGGAAGGCCGTGGATTCATGACATGGATGCAGTACCGTCAACATTGCATCAGGTAATTAATTCCATTGCGATAGGGAATTCATCAGATCAGGGGAGATCAGCAGGCGACACGAGAAATCAACACATTGGCAATGGCAAGTGGAACTATCACGACCCAAACCGAAGGGCCGCGACGGGCACATGGTGCCTAACTCAACCGAGTACCAACGTAACGTATTCTTCTTATCATACTAGTAAATGGGCTAGAGGGGCTGTCATGAGATAACCAGAATAAAACATAAGGGAATACTAGACATAGGACGACCCAACATGATATAGAAACTTATACATGTGACATACAAGCCTATAAGACCGACAAGATCATTTGTACACTCAAAACATAGGCCGACAAGGCTATACAAGTATCCATATACATGACATCTGTCTACAAGCCTCTAAGAGTACATAAACTTCATAAAGGTCGGGACAGGGCCCCACCATACCAATCAATACATGTCCAAATCATACTGACCAAATAGGCAACTCCGGAGCAAGTGGAGTGCACCAACACCTTTCGCTGAGCTGATAGCCTACTAGGAAGAATATCAACCTGTCTATCGGGACTTGCGGGCATGAAATGCAGTGTCCGCAGGCAAAAGGGACATCAGTACAAATAAAGTACCGAGTATGTAAGGCATGAAAGTAGTATATAAAAGACATGAAAGAAACATGGAGTAAAGAACTCAACCTGTAAGTTTGAATAGCTCTGTGAATCATGAAACATTTATAATGTCATGCATATGCATATAAATGTCATAACATGCATAGGTATATATGTACATAACATCATCAAGCCTCTGAGGACATCCCATCATATCATCTTGGCTTCTGTGGGCGAAATCATCAACGTATACCAATTGATCAGGTGATGGTGTGTATATAACGCCGTAACCTTTCCCCATATCCCATATACATATAATATATGCGTATATAACGCCATCTGGTCATGGGTCAATGTACATGTATAAATGAATGCAATGCATAATGAAGTATTCAATAAGATCTCTTAAAATGCCATAAGATCATTATGCCTTCAGATAAACTTTATTAACTTACGTATTTTCTAAGACCCATGAACAGACGATATAATAATAGGACACATAGGGAATTAAGAACATAGGCACCCCTAGTACATCTATGAACAGAGTCAATTCTGAACGTTGTGCGTTTGCTCGTTTTGGTATCATATGGACCATGCCAAAAGTAAAGAAGGTATAGCCTTAACATACCTTGCAGTCTTCTCTCCAATCATCAACCAAGCTCAATATGATCTTCTTACGTCTATAATGAGTAAACCGACTTTGTAGTCATCATATAAGCATTGTAACTCTCATATTTCAAAACCAATATTCTACAAGAAAACAGACAACACCTCCCCTATTTTTACTACATACCATAAGTTATTAAAAGTTACCAAACATCCCAAACAACAACACTACAATTCACAATAAGCTCTCTGATTGCTTCAACAACCATTTTGAGCGACAAGCTCGGTTTGTGACTAAACAACTAAAGTTTGAAACCCCTTATTCCTTCCATAATTTATCAACAACATTAACCGCCACATATTCAATTATCCCTACTAATTTTAAGCCACAATACAACTTTAAAACGACCCCATAACAGTCCCACAATTTCAGCAACTCAAAACTTATTTTTATGATTACTAAAACACGTTTCCGACTTGTCTTTTCTTTCAAATCGAGAAACAAAACCAACAATATATAATAAAGCCTCTTCTCATATAAAACAGCCATGAATTTAACTTAAAATTAAGTTCACAACTAGCCAACAGTGATGCCACAACAAATAGCATACTACTCTTTCGAAACTCGCAAGTTCTAGTCTTTACGATCGAGCTACAACTCGTAGAAGCTTAGATAAGGGAAAGAGAAGCATAAACTTACCTTGGAATAAGTAGAACCCACGAAACCTAGTCCATATTCATCCAAAATCAGTCCCCCAATGCAACTACAAGAATGAGAAAGGGAAATTAGCAAGATGTCCCGGATTTTCGGTACTAGAATCACTTCGTATCACCCGAAATCACCTAGGGTTTGTATGGGATTTTTGGGGGAGGAGTTGCAGTGGTTTTCTCCTATATTTTACTCATGAGATTATTTTGAAGATGTGAGATAATCATCCCATATAAAAGGCCCCTTGGCCGCCCTCAATCTGCCCTTTTTTGGGGATTTATTTTGTCCCTTCATTTAAGCAAGTAGGTGATGCACCTACTTGTCACCTACCAGTCTGCGCAGTCTCGCAAAAATACAAATATCTCTCTACTCCAATATCGTATTGATGAACGGTTTAATGCATTAGAAAGTAGACTCGTAGATCTTCAATTTGGTATGTGGATCATCCTTTAATTCTAAGTATATTGGTAGAAATGCTTAGCTACATTTGACCTAATTTTTAGCACATTATGAATGTAACTTGTGATGACCTTTGCCGATGTAACGACCCGGCCGGTCATTTCGAGAGTTGTAGCTCCGTTCCCCTATTTTTTGCTTCTTTTGTGCTTTGTAGCTAATATATGACTTATCGGGTTAGTTGGTTCGGGTCCGGAGTGAATTCAGGGTGAATTGAGACACTTAGTCTCTTAATTGAAAGCTTAAGTTGGAAAAGTCGACCGGATGTCGACTTATGTGTAAATGATCTTAGATTTAAATTTTGATAGTTCCGTTAACTCCGTTGGGTAATTTTGGACTTAGGAGCGTGTCCAGATTATGATTTGGAGGTCGGGAGTAGAATTAGGCTTGAAATGGTGAAAGTTGGAATTTTGAAAAGTTTGACCGATAGTGAAATTTTTGATATCGGGGTCGGATTCCGATTCCAGAAGTTGGAGTAGGTCCGTAATTCCAAATGTGACTTATGTGCAAAATTTGAGGTCAATTAGACGTAATTTGACAGGTTTCAGAGTCATTTGTAAAATTTGAAAATTTTAAAGTTCATTAGGCTTGAATCCGTATGTAATTTGTGTTTTTGATTTTGTTTGAGGTGGTTTGAGGATTCGACTAAGTTCGTATCGTGTTTTGGGACTTGATGATATGTTTGGTTGAGGTCCCGGGGTCCTCGGGTGAGTTTCGGAGGGTTAACGGATCATTTTTGGACTTTGGTCGTTGGCTGATAACTGTTGGTGTATTTCTACTGGTTTCCTCTTACACATTCGCGAGAGGAGCCTCGCGTTCGCGAAGGGTGTTTGTGAGTTGGGAAGGTTTTGTTCTACGCATTCGCGAATAGTGGGGCGCGAACGCGAAGGTATGGCTGTGTGTACACCGCGAACGCGAGTGAGGTGTCGCGTTCGCGTAGAGATGTTGAGATAGCTGGGGACCCCAGGCCCTTGGTCTACGCATTCACGAGGCAGGGATCGCGTTCGCGAAAGGGTGATGTTGGTAAAGCTTCGCGCTCGCGAAGCTGTGGTCGCGTTCGCGAAGCTATGGTCGCGTTCGCGATGAAGGTGCATCTGGGTAGATTTAAAAGATTAGAAACGAGGGTTTCGAGTTCATATCATAAAATTGAAGTGGAAGCTCGGTAGAAGGCGATTTTTGGAGAGATTCTTTCGTGGGTGTTTGGGGTAAGTGATTCCTATCCAATTTTGGTCAAATCCAATGATTATGCCTTTAATTCCACCATCTAATTTGTGATTTGGGGTGGAAAAATTGGGGAAAAAGAGGAAGAATTCTTGAGTTAGATTTTTGAGGTTTTGAATGGGATTTTGTTATCGGATTTGGGTAAATTTGATATGGTTAGACTCATGAATGAATGGGATTTCGAGTTTTGTGACTTTTTTCGGATTTCGAGACGTGGGCCCGGGGGCCGGTTTGAGCCGATTTCGGATTTTGGCTATAATTTAGTATTTTCTTGTGGAATTGATTCCTTTAGCCTATATTAATTTTATTGTACAGGTTGTGGCAAGATTCGGGACGTTTGGAGACAGATTTGAGAGGCAAGGGCATTTTAGAGTAGAATTTAGCCTATATTGAGGTAAGTAACATTTTCAAACTTGGTTCTGAGGGTTCGAAACCCTGAATTATGTGTTATGTGATTGGTATTAAGGTGCCGCACATGTCAAGTGACGGGCATGCGGGCGTGCACCGTGAGAATTGTGATCTGGTTGACTCCATGGCACCGTATAGTGGTTCTATCTTGTTGATATCCGTGTTTTCATCATGTGATAAAGTAATTGAACTGTCACTCATGTTAGATATCATGCGTAGGCTTTATGCCGGTACTGTTGGGACCCATAGTTGTCGTTTCTTGCTGTCATCTTACTGATTTTATTAATATTTCGTACTCAGTCATATTCATGCATTTCATATCATATCTCAGTCTCTGTGGTTTTTTGTTGATACATCATATCATTATTTCGGGCTAGTTTCATGACATTGTGAGCCCGTGAGTGAGACTGGAGAGATTTCTGACTGAGTGAGGCTGAGAGCCTGACTATGAGTGACCGTTATAGGATCGTGCTGCACGCCATAGCGGTTATACTGATTTGTGATAGCGCTTGAGCTGTAGGATCCCCTCAACAGTCTGCACACACCCCCAGTGAGCGCGGTTGATATTATTGAGGGATGGATTTTCCTTGGACATGGATCTTGTCCGAAGCATTTTATACCTGGAGATGGATCTTCTCTAAGGGCTGGATTTTCCCTACTCGGTACTGGGTGACTGATGGTCAGTGAGGTATATATATTCCGGGATGGATCTTCCTTGTGCCGTTTGGGCCATATACAGTACCGAGTGATTGAGCATTTGAGAGTGTGAGCACATGAGGCTGTCAGCATGGTACATCATATACATCATGTGCATTGGCATGATAGAAGTAGAGGAGTTATACTTTCATATCATTCAGATTGATCCATTTTTACTGTTTTAAGATATCTATTGAACTTGAAAGCATGTCTACATTTCTGCACTGTTATTTTATGTATTGAATTGTGCCGGTTGAGTTCGTCAATACTTTCAGCCCACAGTTTGGATTTGTTACTTACTGAGTTGGTTGTACTC